ATTAATCTGCAAGGTGCTGCTGCTGCTGCATTACTAGGGTACGGAGAAAGTATAGTTGACCTGATTTCTTGACGGCGTGCGCCGTGGCTGCCCTCGCCCTAGCCTGCGCTTGAGCACCCTTTAAGTGTTCCAACTTTTGATAATAGTTAGCTTCGCACTTTTCTGGGAGGGAGTTTAATTTGCCACTTGCCAAGTCAAACTAATTATTTCTAGATGCTAGTTTAAAGAAAACGGACAGATATTTTGTCTTTCTGTAACACCTTCGCAACAGCAGCTGTTTATGCCGCTATCCCGAATTTTCCTTGCCGAATACTCCTCACGGTGTCAATCAGATACCGCCAAATATCCATTTACTATAACTATTTAAAGTCACTTTTGTCAAAGGCATTGCTTTTTGCTAGATTTGTTGATTCTTCACCTCTTAAATATACCCTTTTTGTCGGTAATGGCTTTCTCCTTTATTAATCACAGTGGAAAGTTTTACGCTGTAAGTTAAACGCTCAGCGCTGGTTTGTTACGTGACCCGGATCGATCGGCCGTTCCGTCACATACTTGCTGTGTTACACACAGGAGAGGGTAAACGTTGTATACGTAAATATCAAAGACGTGTTCATGGGTTCGGCTCTTGCACTCGCCTCCGTACAAAACAACATGTAGACTTTGTTACAGTCTTACTTTATTTGATCCTAAAACTGTCGATTGGACACGTCTACAAAAACGGTGGAACGCAGGATAAGACATGAATGCACTTTATTACCTGACGCGGTACTTTTTCCAAAGGGTCGCTGGTTCTTTAAGCGTTTCCGGTGGAAGCCTAAAAGGGAGCGACACTGTAAAAACCGAAATCAATAGATACAGTTATGTGCGAAAGGTGATGAACAGCGGATTTAAAGGGGGGGGGGACCAATGGCAATTAGTAGTAAAATGTTGCGATAAAAATAATGAAAGTCGTGGTGTTGGGGTACGCTAATTCAGTTAAAGAGCAGCGCCCAATTCGAAAGCGGTGTCGAAATTATT